GCAAGGAGTACGAGCGGCGTGAGGACTTTGAGATGCAGCTGCTGAGCCCCTTCCCCAATGCTGAGAAGCTGAAGAGCACATCTCCCCCTGGCCAGGAGATCACCGCCTCGCCAGGGCAGTGTATCCTCTGCGCACAGGGACGGGGCTGGGAGGGTGGCTTGGTCTCTGTCCATCACTCTCCATGTGGGAATTCCTTACGTGCCTCTCTGTAGCCCTGGGGTTCACCCCTCAGGGCTCTGGAGCCCCTCTCCCCAGCAGCCCTGTCCTCCAGTGTGTGCCTGTGGCTCCTTCACTCCCACAGACATCCAGTGCTTCACCGTGCAGCCGGCAGAGGAAGCCAAGGTCCGGCTCAGGGGCCGGAGCATCCCGGAGCAGATCACCAAGTGAGTGTCCAGCACAGGGAGCCCCTGCTCTGCTCCCTGTGGGTGGGACACAGTGAGGGTCCTGTCCCATTTCTGCCCCTTCCCTCCCCACAGCTTCTACAAAGCCAACCACATCCAGCGGTTCAGCTACTCACGGCCTTTCAAGAGGGGCCCGAATGATCCCGACAATGAATTTGCAGTGAGTGCTGGGAGGAGCTGCCAGGACCCCCAGCTGGGAGGGACAGGGTCAGCTAAGGGTCCAGAGGAGAGACAGGGGATCCCCAGTCCTGGGATGGGGAAGGTGATGTCCTGATGGAGGTGGGAGCTCCCCATGCCATGGGACAGCCAGGGGTGACCCAGTGTGACAGGAGGAGGGTGGGGAGTGACAGCTGCTCTTCCCACAGAACATGTGGATTGAGCGGACAACCTTCAGGACAGCCTATCCCCTGCCCGGCATCCTGCGCTGGTTCGTTGTGACCTCCACTGAAACGGTGAGGAGGGGGCTGGGGGGCAGCAGGGCCCTCCCAGGATCCTGATGGATCCCAGCCCTGCCAGGAGCTCAAGCTGGGCCATGGGGAGCGTGTCCTGCCTGTGCCACGCTCTGTGGGCAGCAGGGACAGTGTGTGGGGAGCAGCAGAGGCGCTGGAGGGGTGTCAGCAACTGCTGCCACGGCTCTGTGCGTGGGCTTTGTTCCTCTGTCAGAGGCAGGGGCTCGGCCAACATCCAGGGAGCCTCAGGAGGCACGGCAGTGGAGATGTGATGTGCCCTGCTGGGCTGTCACAGGATGTCCTGGCTGGGCTGTCACGGGATGCTGCGGGCACAAGGATGTATGGCTGCATGAGTGCTGCACGTGTGTCTGCCGTGGTGCTCAGGCTGTGCACCCCACTGCGGCACAGCTGCACCCCCCAGAGTGACACCAGTGGTTAGGCAGGTTTCCTGTAGCCCCTCTGTGCCCATGGGATTGATCCTGTGCTGGGAGCAGGGACCAGCATGGCCAGCACATCCCCATGAGCTCTCACTCAGCCCCAGGCACCCAGTGCCAGGGGTCTGAGGGGCTTCATGGGGCGAGATGTGCAGCCCCAGGGGTCCCTCCTGCCGGGCTGGGGAGAGCCCACCCTGCCAGCCTTAACAAGGAGGGGCAGGTGGCTGTGCCAGCAAGTGTTGAGCCCTCCCTGCACACAGATCATCATCTCCCCCCTGGAAAACGCCATTGAGACCATGATGAAAACCAATGAGAAAATCATGAGCGAGATCAACCGGCACCAGAACGACCCCAGCCTGCCCATCAACCCTCTCTCCATGCTGCTCAACGGCATCGTGGACCCCGCAGTCATGGGCGGCTTTGCCAAGTATGAGAAGGTGAGGACACGCAGGGGCTGTGTCAGGGCCGGCTGGGCACACCCAGGACTAGCCCTGGCACCGCTCTGCCATCCCTGGCCCGTGTGGGACTGAGGAAGGGTCGTTGCAGGCGTTTTTCCAGGAGCCCTACATGCAGGAGCACCCCGAGGACGCAGGGAACATCGAGAAGCTGAAGGACCTGATCGCCTGGCAGGTACCAGGTGCAGCAGCCCTCTGGCAGGGACAGCTGCCCCCGGTGTCCGCTGTCCCTCCCATCCCAGGGAGCCCCACGAGTCCCTGTTCTCCCACAGATCCCGCTGCTGGCAGAGGGAATCCGGATCCATGGGCAGAAGGTGACAGAGGACCTGCGGCCCTTCCACGAGCGCATGGAGCAGTGCTTTGAGCAGCTGCGGGCCAAGGTGGAGAGTCAGTACGGGGTGCGCGAGATGGTGAGCGCCACACGGTGGGCACGGGGCAGCCACGGCTGGGGGTCACAGACAGTGCCTGGCACCATGGGGGTGACACTGGACAAGCCAATGCAGGTGTGGGGCAGCAGGGAGCAGCTGGCTGAGGCCACAGCTGGGGCAGGAACAGAGTGAGGAGCACTGGGCATGGGGGACCTCAGGGTCCCTGTCTGCCCTGGGAGGTGGAACAGCCCTTCTGGGGGTGGCTGGCGCTGGCACAGAAGCAGGACTGGTTAGAGGGGATACAATTTAACATCACAGTCACCCCAGGACAAGAGGGCACTAGGGATGGGCTGGGGAGGCTCTGCCCTCTCACCCCTCCTGGCTGTCTCAGATGTTCTTTGAGGACCGGCGGAGCGGCCGACCCCGGTCCATAGCCTGGGTACCTGACTGGGACCAGCTGAGCCACACTGGAGCCAGGCAAGTGCTGCAGGGGGGAGTGCACCTCTCACTGCCCTCAGCCCTCCCTGCTGAGCCTTTCTCACTCTAGCCCAGGTGCTTTTCTCTCACCTCCCAAGTCCTTTGCCCTTCCACCTTCCCTTTATGCCAAGTGCATCTCAGGGCTCCGTCCTGCCAGGCCACCATGGTGGCCCTGTCCCTATGGGGGGCATGGAGGAGAGACACCCCTGGCTCACCTGGACACTGCTGTCACCTGAGCCATCCACTCTAGTCCCCCAACCCTTCCCTGCTGAGCTCTGCTGTAGATGGAGCCTGGCTGAGTGCACCCAGTGATGCTCCAGCTGGTCCATGGCATAGCCCTGGACTCCTCCTTCCCCTGCTGCCCCTCACCTGTCCCAGTCACCCCACAGCACGGAGGCATCCCCAACCCCAAAGCCGGCCCCCCGCCCCTCTGAGAGCGAGGACCACAGGACCGAGCGCAAGGAGAACCGCACCAGCTCCATCTTCGGGCCCTGGCGGCAGGACCCACGCCAGTCCATCTCAGAGCTGCCAGAGCCCAAGGTGATGCTCAGCACAGCCCTGGTGCCTCCCTGGGGCCCTGCTCACACTCCCCTGGGTGTCCTGCTGCACCCAGAGCCCCCAGCCCAGATGGGACCCCTCGAGGGGCTGGTAGCAACCCCTGCTGCAGGGAGGGCAGGAACAGGGGCTGGATGGGCACAAGGCTGGAGACCCAGGGCTGCAGGGGCTGCCATCCAGCCTGGCCCTCCAAGGTGCTGAGCCTTCCTTCTGTGCCCCAGGACAAGAAGTGGAGACTCTCCTGCAACATGAGCTTGAGCAGCCTGAGCGCTGATGGGAAACAGCCCCCGCCAAGCCAAGCTGCTGCCGACGCTCAGCCCAGTGCTGCAGGTACAACCTGCCAGGCCACCTTCCTGAGAGTCCCTACAGCCCCACGAGCAGGGCTGTGCCCTCCCACACCACCCCCGGCACAGGTCCCCTCACCCTCTTGTGGTGGCACAGAGGGAACACAGGGACATCCCCTGCTGAACGCTCCCTGCGGGGCTGCAGCCATTGCTCCTGGACCTTGTGCCGCTGGGTCTCGGTGCCAACAGCTGTTCCTGGTGGGAGCCAGCCCCCTGCTTCTGGCTGGGCTCACAGCCCATGGCACCTTTGTCTCCTCCGCCCAGCACTGCCATGCTCCCCTAGGCGGGAGTGCTGGCACTGACAGCCCTGGGGACTTACAGCCCTGGGCACACCGATGGGCCCTATGCACCCCCAGGCTGGCTGAGCCTCCATCCCACCTCTCCTGTCTGCACAGGCTCATCCCTGTCTCCCACTGGCTTTGGTGGCCGTGTGAAGAGTGCCAGCAAGCTCCCACCACTGCCCCGCAAGTTCAACCCTGCGGTGTACGAGACATTCCTGGAGCAGAGTGATGCTGCAGCAGGACGGAAGGTACTGGAGGGGAGGCACTGGCTGGCCCTGGCCTCCATTCCCACCACCCCTCACATCCCTCTCTGCTCACAGGCATCCACATCCCCGACAGTGGATGGCAACAAAAGCCTCAAGTCACCACCGCTGCCGCCACCCAAGTCCAGGCGACTGTCACAGCTCTGACCTGATGCCACCTGCAGCTGCACTGTCTGCAGGGGCCACCCCTGCCCAGAGTGCCCCTGTGCCCAGCCAGCTGCCCAACTCACAGCCCTGCTTGATTCTCACCTGCTGGAGCACCTCCTGCAGTACTGACACCCAGAGCATCCCACATGGCCATGGGAGTCTCTGTGTGCACCAGGCACTGCCACTCCGTGTCCTGCCAGCTTTGGCTATTGCCATCCTCCAGGTGTTCCCAGAGGCTGGGACCCACCTGGCCCTGGATGCTTCCTATGCCACTGGAGCCATACTGAGCTCCCACACATGCAGCCCCTCCCAGCCATGAGGACATCCCTCCCTCCACACGAGCTGCCCACGGACTGTGCCAGTGGCAGCGAGCCAGAGACTTCCCCAGTGGCGCTTCCATGTGATTCCTGCTCCCTGCTGGTGGGACAGCTCCCATCCCTTGGCTGCCCACCCCATCCTGCAGCACCAGGACACACAGGAGACAGCCAGGTGTGCACACAGGCCCTGGCAGCCTCATACTCTGTAGTGCCACCTCTCCTGTCCACATCTGCCACCTGGCAGGTGTCACTGCCCTGACTGGCCATGCCACGCTCAGCTCCTGCCTCTGCACTGCAGCCACGGCTAATAAAGGGTAAATGAATCAGCCGAGCACCTGCGTGGAGCTGAGCACCTGTGTGAGCCCCAGCAGCCACCCCTGCTTGCCCACAGCCCACCCAGGGGCTCACACCCAGCTGGCACCACCCCAAAGCACAGGGACTCCAGGGAGTCCAGTGGTCACTTCCCAAGCCAGGCTGGGCTGGCCGGACACAGGGAGGGGACTCTCTGCTCAGCCCCTGAGCTGGCACAGGGCTCTTTATTCAGGTGGGCTCAGTTGTATTTACAGTCTGTTACAGGGGGACCTGGACCTGTAACCAGGGGCTGGGGAGGGCAGAGGCTGCCTGCAGCTGGGAGCTGCCATCAGCAGGTTCTGGTCTATGGGGTAGAGTGGGATCAGCTCCTGAGGCAAGGGCTGAGGGAGAGACACGGAGAGAGGGCGCCTCGTGTCACGAACATGGGGCCTGGGAGCGGTCAGGCTGCGCTGGGGCCGGGCTCTCCCCGCATTCCCATTCTGCTGCCTGCCCAGATCCTCACAGAGGGTTGGCCGAGGAGGCTGCCAGGCGCTTCCCAATGTAGATCCTGGATTGGAGAGAGTGACTGTGAGGCACTGGCACAGGGGGCTGGGCCCCAGCAAGCCAAGAGCAAGGGGAGATGGCAGCAGACCACTGCAGCTGCTGGGAGCAGTGGTGCATGACAGCACCCCAGGATGAGCAGCCCAAATGCAGGAGTGTTCCCTCCTCCCTCAGTCCCAGGGTGAGACCCTCCAGACACTCCCCCAGCCCCATGCTGAGAGCCACAGACACTCACCCAAGCCCCAGGGTCAGCAGGTGGCTGAGCAGGAGTGAGGGGATGAAGAGCAGCAGCAGCTCCGAACTGAAAAGTCTCTTCTTCCTCCCCACTGCACCTCCCTGCAGGCTCCACAGCACTGGCTGCGGGGAGCACACAAAGGCAAATTCCCTGGGGAAAGTTCATGGTTAACAGGGACACAGGGACAGCAGGATGGGGGTCAGTAGGACGTGCTGGTCAGAGACACAGGACTTACTTTGGAGACAGGTACCGAGGGCAGAGGGTACAGGCCCAGCCCAGGGACGCTGTCAGGCGTCGCTGCCTCCACTTGGCTTCCTCTGGCACATCCCACTGGAAAGAGACAAAGGGCAGGTCAGAGCAGGGCCTGGGGGCACAGCAGGGTGTGGTGGGGGCAGCTCCCTCACCTGCCGGGGGTGGGAGCAGCCTGGTGGGGGGGGCTGGCTGTGGGCAGGCAGCACCTCACTCTCCCCTGGCTGATCACTCCCATGGCTGGCTCCATCGTCATCCCAGGCTGGGGACCCCAGCACGAGCAGGGCCCTGCAAACAGAAATCCTTGGTCACTGAAACCAGCCACGGCTCAGCAGGGCTCTGGAGCCTGGCTCCCCCTCAGGACTCACCCGTCACTGCTCTCTGTCTCCAGCTGGGCCTCCAGCAGCATCCGCTCCACATCGGTGTGGCAGGAGAATGGAGAAGGCGCCGGCTCGGGCTCGGGGCAGCCTGGGCCACACCGCAGCTCCACCCAGGAGCCTGGGGGGACTGTCAGCCCCTGCGCTGTCCCAGGCCCACCCCTGTACCCTATCCCATCCCGGAGCCCCTGCCGGCACACCCCGCACCCCTGCCTGCAGAC